CCTATTCCACCTATCCCGGCGTGCATGCTCGACGGCTGGAACGATGCGACGATGTGGATTCCCATAATGAATGCAACAAATAGGAGCCGTCAGTAATATGATAATAGGAAAACATAAGGGTATGAGCGATGATAATTATTAAAAGATGATAAGTGGCTAAGTAATAGACATGGAGCGACAACGACAGACGTCATTCACATGTGGAGAAGTTTTGAGTTGTTTGTTGCTATTGCAATGTAATAATTGTGATGAACTCGTAAAAATATGATATGATTAACAATTTTCTGATTAAAAATTGCCTTGCGGATCACATCTATGTATCAATTTTTAAGTTAGTTGTTTTATTTGCAACGTGCGTTGGATCTTATAAAGTGTTGTGTGGGCGTTTTGTTCCCACGTGTGGCAAAAAAAACAGGACTTGGAGATGAAAAACGCATTGACAATCTTATTATATTACCATAACGATGCAGATTTCAAAAAAAAAAAAACACAACATCGCTGATGAATCCATAGCAAACCAAAACAAAAATGTTTATTTGATGTCTTTTCCAATCAATTTAGCAAAAAAATGTTGAAAATGTTAATAAAATATTTAGTGAAAGTCGATAAAAGATGAAAAAACCTCAAAAATAGTAAAAATTTTAACTACGTGCACTTGAAAAATATCGATATAAACCATTTAACAACAATTAATTTTAACTACGTGCACTTGAAAAATAGTAAAATGGAGACCGAACTTTATTTACTGTTACACGTTTATAAACCATTTTACAACAATTATTTACCAGTATGAAAAAAAAAGCGTTAAGGAAAAAATAAAAGAAACAGAATGCGGTATATTTTTAGTCATAGTTCAATCGAAAAAACGAGAAAATAAGCTTTATATATATTGAAATGAAAAAACGCATGAAATATACTGAAATCAAGAAGAAATTTGTGTGGAAATTTGACAAATCCTGCATATACTATGAAAAATTGTTCAAAATTTACAAAGTTTGTAATGAAATATAACAATAGTCGCCGATAATAGGCGGTTCCTTCGAATAATCGAACAAAAACTAGTGGATTATTGATCGGAAAATTTCATGGTATCCCTTGAATTTGAATGTTTTTAAATATGAAAAACACGATAAATCGCTTCAAAAATGGACTTTCAATTTCGTGCAAAAAATAAAAAATGTACGTTTTGACGAAATCGCAGTTGAGTATGCTTTTACCATCACCTCATAGTTTAGCAAACAGAGGTTTAAAATAAAAAAAAAGATTCCCAGCGATTTAGAAACATACTCTGGGCTCCTGCTTTCTAATGGAGACTTAGTCGTATTTTTTCCCATTTTGCTTCCTTCTATTTGCACTGTTTGAAAAAAAAAGGGAATTTGTGGTCACCTCCGGAGGTGACCGCAAAATCCCTTGCCCCGCGGCTTCCCAGGCCGCTGACAAATGGGCACTGTAATAGTACATTTGCGAATTTGGTATATCCGTGTGACCGGCCTTTTCACCTTTTTTGGGGGATTTTGGGATTATAGATCCCCGTGTGAGTATGCCCACACACACGAACAGTCCTCATTCCTATACTTTTTCTGCCGACTAGGGGGATGTCGCCCCGACCTCCTTTCTCTTTTTTGTAACATGAAAGTTCTTCTGCTCGTTAAAAAAAGAATGGATCATTTACAAAATACCCTGATAAGTAAAGATATATGCCAAAATGCCCCTGAAAGATGTGGGTAGCGTGGAATGCCCTTTTGGGTCGAAAACTTTGCCTTGTGCCCCTGTGTGGCCCGTGTGCAACTTTGCAATCTAGACCTCCCCCATTTGGGCCTTGGGATTTTGCAATAGTTTATTTTTTTCTGATGTCATTTTCTAAAGTTGCAAAATTGCGAGATCGTGTATTTGTAAATTTGTGAATTTGCGACGCTCTGTGACCATTTGTACATATGTATGAGTATATGGGGTGAGGTGGACTGCATAATGCCTTATAAGGATAATTAACCCCTGTAGTAAGTGTCTGGGGATCCTTTGACACTCAGAGTGGATAATCAGATAGGATATGGTTAATCTTCATACGATTGCTGTCTTTTTTTTCCCCACAGAGTATGAGTACTGACATATACGCTTAGCGTTTACGGGATGGTTGTTTTCTTTTGTGCCTTAGGCATGTTGGTTTCCCCCCTTTCTTTCCTTTTTTTCCAACTTGAGCCTTATAATACTTGGGGGCCGAGGTCTCGACAGCTGGATTGCTGTGGTCGTGGATGGGATTGGCTGAAAGTGCCTTTCTCAGCCTTGTATGGCTGCAACATTCATGCGAGAGAAAAAAAAAAAAAAAAAAAAAAACAATACGACCACGTTATGAGGCTCCACCTCATCCAGATTCTTTTGTTTTTTTTTTTGAAGGAAAGGGCCCCTGAGGGCTTCATATTAAACTCGCAAACTTGAGGCCCGGAATCCCTCAAAGAACAACCGGGAAAAAAAGAAAGGGAGATAGGACTCCCAAAACACAATAGGGAGGTGTTGCAGAGCGCTTTGCTCCACGATTGTAATAAAAAAAGTCCCCCCCCCCCCCCCCTTGAGAGTTTACATGAGATTACGAGTAAACCAGATTCCAGAGCCCTCTGCGGCACTATTGTTTGAAAAAAAAAAAAAGAAAAAAAAAAAAAAAACATGAGTATTCGGGAATTTTTTAATTGAATTGAAAAAGTAGACAGGCTGACACCGCATGGTTCTGAACCCCGAAAAAGAAAAAAGGAAAAAAAAAGGGGAAATTGCATCTGTACCCTACGCTATACCCAGTCGCAGCACCACCGCCGTCACCCTGAACGTGACCGGCACCAGTGACTTGAAGGTGACTAGCCGGTCATTTGGCCCTACGCATGTGAACAGGCAGACCAAAAAAGAGTGGTGTTTTTTTGGGGGGGGCCACCCAGCTAGAGTAGCCTCAAGCCCCATAGGGTGATGACATTAAAAAAATTACAAAAAATCGAAATAGGCTAGAAAATAACAAACAAAAATGCTTATATTGGGTGGTTGCATTTTATCATTTTCGTTTATAATTAAAAAAAAACATTATTCGTAAAAAAAAATAAAAAATTTATGGGGGGTTACCCTCCCATAACCCCCACCCTCCTATAAAAAAAAAAAACAACCCCCCAGCCAAAAAAAAAAAAATTCCCCTGCCAAAAAAAAAGACCAAGCCCCGATCCTGCTCTCCGTGAACTCGATGAACTCCATAAGGTCCATGACTGGTTTTCGTCCAAAGACCCCGTGAACGATGAACACGGGTACGGCACTGCGCAGCACCGAACTGCATCTATGGCCCGGAAACAGCCAGGTGGACACAGGCTGGTGCCGCCAAATTGGAGTCATAACAAAAGCAACTACGAGAATGCACAAGTTGGTACATTTGCATGGATTTGGCCACTTCTGCTACTGCACTGCTGCATGGATTTGGCCACGTCTGCTGCTGCACTATGGGGCTCGTTCGACACTCCTCAAGCGCGTAAAATCCCCGAGGAAATCATCGTTCCACCTATCCTCGGGGAACAAAACGAAAAAAAAATGTGAAAACATTTCCTCGGGGTTTCCTCCGAGATTCCTCGAGCTACAGCCATTTCGACGCGTTCCCCAAGGGACCTCCCGAGGTCCCTTGGAGGTCGAGCGTCCGGAAGAATCGGAGCGTGAACGGCAGCTCTCTCGACGACAATTTTGGACGTGGCTGGTCCATTGCTGTTCTTGGTGGCCCGTGGACGGACATCTCCGGTTGGCAACGGTCGGCATCATGGAATACTCCGCCAACGGTCCCTTCGGCGGCCTGCCGTCCTTCGCGACGTCGGAAAGCGGCTGCCTTGCGTTGCCGCCCTTCGACACTGGTGGGAAAGCGGCCAACAGTCGGCAGAATCGAATACTTCAGGCCGCCCCCGCTTTCCCGATTGCGTTGTGTCTTCCGCGACGGAGCCCGTTACCCATCGTTTGTCGCTAGCTGCGATTGGCTGTTTTCGGTGGAGTGTCCGTCGTCGTTTCCTGTACGTCCACGGCTGTCTTGCAGGTGCTCGCGTCGTCCACGTGTGTTTCATGGCCGACATCTTTCGGAGGCTGCCACTGCTGGTGCTGGTCGTCCTCCTGCTTCTCCTCGTAGTGCTCTTCCACGTCTATGTCGTCGGCATCGTTCCGCGACGTGGGCGCAGGCGACGGTGTGCAAAGAAGGACGTCAGTATGGATGGGCGGCAGGCGGTTTGCAGGTCTCCACGGGGTGAGGGTGGTGGCCAACGGGCCGGGCAGAGCCCGTCTAGAGGTTCAAAGGCGGTGGAGCGGTCGGAGTACGTGCACCTGCCACCGCACTTACAGCCTTTGCCAGACACATTGGACGAGGAGGAGGACGACAGGCGTTCACGTGCCGTGCCGCTGGGAAGCGGGTCTACGCAGGAGTGGACGGCCACAGATCTTTGTGGAAGCCGGGAGCCCAGTTACGGGCAGTCGTACACCCTGCTCCTCCAGCAGGGCTTGAGCGGCAACGAAGGAGATGGAGGTGTGAATCTGACGTTCGGTCTGTGCAGTGGGAGGTCGTCGTCTTCGACGCGGACAGTGCTAGTCGACAACCGTCCTAATGACGATCGCAGCTAGGTGACGGTTGTTGCACGACCGTCAAAGTCTCCAGCGTCGTCGGTCCGCGTGGCGTCGGGGAACAACAGGGATCCTCGTACGCAGCAATACAGGGCGCCATCTGCTTCAAGGGGTGCCTCGGCTCGCCCGTCGTGGATGTTGTCCCCGTCTCCCCTGTCCGCCAATTTGAGTGCGGCTCACAACCCGGGGGAATGCAGGGAGCATGATTGCGGGATCGAGGAAAGAGATAACGCACGCGACGGAAGGGAGGTGTGGGAAGAACAGCGATGGATGCTCCATCCACGACGGCAAGAATCCATTACACGGGGCGTGCAGCGACTGTGAGAGGTGGACGACGAAAACGACGGCGACGCACCTGATGTGGGCGGCAACGATCAGGACTTAAACGACGACGACTGCGGGGGTGGGGAGGATGACGCAGGGCAAGTGTCGCCATCCAAGCAAAGCAGCATGGGGGGGAATGGCGGTAGGGCGAAGGCGTCTGTTCGCAACGGTCGATGGGGGAAGAAGCCGATGGGGAAGGGGAGCGACGTCGAAGCTGACGGCGATGCAGAAGGCGGTCGTCATTTTTGGTCCGTCGACGACATGGTGGCCTTGATACGGGCTAAACGTGACCAGGACGCGCATCTGCAGGGAATGGGCACCACGTACGCTCGTATGAAGCCGCGAGAATGGAAGTGGTTAGATGTGGAGCAAAGGCTGAAGAAGGTGGGCGTGGAGAGGGAGGCAGACTGGTGCGGGAAGAAGTGGGACAATTTGATGCAGCAGTTCAAGAAGGTGCACCACTTCCAAGGCTTGTCCGGGAAACAGGACTTCTTCCAGTTCATAGGGAAGGAGCGGTTGTCGAAGGGCTTCAGTTTTAACATGGATCGTGCGGTTTACGACGAGATCCTCGGGTCGACTTCCAAGAGCCACACCATTAACCCTAAGAACGTCGCAGACACTGGTGCTCCGGGGGGTGTGCGTTTGCCGTCAGCAAATTCTGGTGATCGAGAGTCAGTCGGGGATCGGGACGCTGCTGCATGGCTGGACGACGACGACGACGGGTCGACGAGAGGTTCTTCTTAGACGACGGGAGGCCCTGCTGGCTTCGGCAAGAGGAAGAGCACGAGCCAGCAAACTTTGGACGCTCTGTCGGAATGCATGGAGAAGCACGGGGCTCTGGTGGCGTCGACGATGGAAAGCAACAGCAAACGACAGTGTTCAATCCAAATCCGGCAGTGCGAGGCATTGGAAGCGGAGGTGGAGGTGCAAAAGAAACACTACGCTGCGTCCGACGAAGTTAGCAAACTGATGTGCCACGCTCTGCTTGAGATAGCGAAGGCCATCCGCGAGCGTTAGCCGTCGTTTTTGCTCCTGTCTGCCTGGTCGAGTCCATCGTTATCACAACGTTGGTAGTGTGTGGTCGTCCGGACGGGTAGATGAGTCCCCCGTTTCAATTCACGTCCGTCGACGTGTGTCCTTTGCTTATTTTGGCGATTTTTTTTTTTTTTTACGCTCCAATTACTTTTCACAGAGCTTGTGTGTTGCGACATGTGTATCCAAACTCCTTTTCGGATTTGCCGCGGGCTGCTGTCCTGCGTCGGGAGGGACAATTTCGTCATGTTTGATTTTGCAACGGATCCGAAGAAGACCACTTCCCTTTTTTATATTTGAAGCAGGTCTGTGTTTTATCTCTCCCTTTCCAAATCTCTCTCTCTCTCTCTCTCTCTCTCTCTCTCTCTCTCTCTCTCTCTCTCTCTCTCTCTCTCTCTCTCTCTCTGT